ATCAACATAATGAATGATGATTTTGGACTTATAATGTTTGACTGTGTTTATCCCATAATAATACCAACCACCAATAATAATACAATAATGTAAGTTTACTGGAGTATGAGGAATGTCACTTTAATAGGACAACTGAGTAGTCTCTTTAGAATAAATACCCAAGGCTATAGCCCATAAATGGTTCAAAACCACCCTCCAATTCGTAATACAGTTTCTGATACATATTGATGTACTTATGCTGTGTAGAAAGTTTAAGGTGATTCTGATTTTAACGGTTTTTAAAGTTATGGCCCAAAATTCTGAAAAATACCCAAAGCTATATAGCCCATGATTTTTCTGAAAAATGACTCCAAAATTGCCTCAATTTTTTATTACAGTTTATGATTCATATTGATGTCCATATGCTGTGCAGAAAGTTTGAGTTGATTCCGATAAAAAATTTTCGAGTTACAACCATTTTTAAAAACAGGCCAAATTTTGAAAAATACCCAAGGCTATAGCCCATGGTTTTTTTTTCAAAAAATGGCTCCAAAATCACCCCAAATTTTTATTACCTTTTCTGATACACATTGATATATTTATGCAGTGTAGAAAGTTTGAGCTGATTCCAACTTCAAATTTTCAAGTTACGGCCATTTTAAGAATATGCCAAAATTCTAAAAAATAGCCAAGGCTATAGCACATGGTTTTTTCTTACAAAAAATGGCTTTAAAATTAATCCACTTTTATTACACGTCAGAAAATATTAAAGGCTTGTAAGACTTTAAATTTTGACAAATTGCATGATATTGGCAAACGGCAAATTATAATTAAAAAATTTTGCGGCCATGTCCTTCAAAATAATGGCTCAAAATGTCATTTTTATTTAGGCAAACGGCTATAAAAACACCATGTTTAGCTCCTTCCAAAATTTCCTGCTGTTTGGTACTTTCAATATATGTACATTACCTTTTTAGCAGCTGTAAAACTGACACCTGAATGAGCATATCTGTCAATAACTAGTGTTGTACCTGACTTCAAATCTCAACACATTCCAGCCCTAATGAGAGAGAGAG